TAAGAAGAGAACTTATCTGAGATTCCTGATGGAGAAACTCTGAGAGGAAAATGGTTGTCTTATGATTATGGTTGTCTTAGGTTAACATTAACAGATATTAAATAATTTAATATTTTAATCATAATATTAAAGTCTTATTTAATCCAGCAAATAGTTTAATGTAATTCTCTTAAAATGGAGTCTTTCTGATGTATTTGATTTTAGATCCATATTCTAAATTTCATATTCTAGTTCTTTTCTGTAAATAATTCTCAATATTTAGTTCCTTCCACATACTTATGTCCTCCTGTCAGCCTGGTGGATTTTTTATGCTAACTGAAACAATTGAGATATGCAAAGTGACTGACCACCATTCACCTGATCCTTGCTCATAGATTATGTAAAATGCTATTTGAGTCTAGACAACAGTAGCTCACACCTGTAATCCTAGCTACTCAGAAGGTTGAGATCTGAGGATCAAGGTTCAGAGTTAACCCAGGCAGGAAAGTCTATGAGATTCTTCTCTCCAATTAACCACCAGAAAACCAGAAGTGGAGTTGTGACTCAAAGTGGTAGAGCTAGACTTGAGCAAATAAAACTCAGGGACAGTGCCCAGGCTCTATGTTCAAACCCCACAATCAACAAAAACAACAACAACACCTATTTGAGTTTCTACCGTCTACCTTTTCCTTTGAGTCACATACTCAAAGGAAGCATGTGACTCATACTCCTAGTGTATGGTTCCTAGTATCTACGTGGTAATCAATTTGCATGCATTTTTTTCCTGGTAAGTTCTTCTTGTTAGCCTATTTCATAGAATAAAATGATCGAATCTTCAGAGTGAATATCTAAACTCTTCAAGCCAGATGTGGTGCTGCACTCTTGAGGTCCCAGAACTTAGGAGGCTGAGGCAGGAGGACTGTGAATTTGAGGTCAGCTTGTGCTCTCTTTAAAAAGAGCAACCCTGGGGCTGGGGAGGTGGATCAGTGGTAGAGCGCTTGCCTTGCATGCATAGGGCCCTGGGTTCAATTCCTCAGCACCACATATGCAGAAAAAGCCAGAAGTGGTGCTGTAGCTCAAGTGGTAGAGCTCTAGCCCTGAGCTAGAGCTGAGGGACAGTGCCCAGGCCCAGAGTTCAGGCCCCATGACTGACAAAATAGAAAGAAAGAAAAAGACTGTTGCAAGAAAAAAAAAAACTTAAAAAAAAAAAAAAAAGAGCAACCCTATGTGTGCTAAGAAAGAGAAGAGCCAGAAAAAGAACTTTCTGTCAAGCAAGGAATAACTTACCACATGACTATAGCCATTGGTGCAGGAAAATAGATTCACATCTTGAGCTACAGAAAGAAATCGGTACTTGGAAGTGGCGCTGTGGCTCAAGTAGTAGAGTGCTAGCCTTGAGCTGAAGAGCTCAGGGACAGTGCCCAGGCCCAGAGTTCAAGCCCCCCAGAGTTCAAGACCAACAAAGAAAAAGAAAGAAAGAAAGAAAGAAAGAAAGAAAGAAAGAAAGAAAGAAAGAAAGAAAGAAAGAAAGAAAGAAAGAAAGAAAGAAAGAAAGAAAGAAAGAAAGAAAGAAAGAGCGAGCAAGCAAGCAGGGAGGGAGAGAGAGAGAGAAAGAAAAGAAAGAAAGAGAAAGAAAAGGAAAGAAAGAAAGAGAAAGAAAGAAAGAAATCAGTACTTGTGCTGGAGCAAAGGTAACAATGCAAGTTATGGAAGTGAGACAAGAAAAATGCATCAACTGATAGTTCTCATATTATACAGATGAAGTTCACAGGTAACAGCTTTCAGTAGACTATGTGACATCCTCTAAAATATGTGGGTTGATTCAGATAAGGCAAAAAAAAAAAGACAGAGCCCATATGCAACCTCTTGTATATCTACAACAGATGAAAGTCTCCCACACAAAAGGACAGTTCTGAAAGAATTATTTCAGAAATTATTTCTGAAAACCCCTCTGGGTGGCCTATTAAAACATTCCAAAGCACTCTATTTTGATCTCCATCATGCAGATAAAAGGTAATGTATTCTTTACCATAATTCTTTCTTACTACCATGGCAATCATTAAAGTATAAGTCAAGATGAGGTTTCCAATCAGCCTTGCTCCATGAATAACTTTATGAATAGTTCTGGTAAATACATCCTAGTTGATAGCCAACCAAAGCCAAAAAGGAACACTTTTTTAATATGTGCTATGGTTTGAATGTGTGACCCAAATTCATGTTGGAAATATAATCCCAACCCATAGTGATAGGAGGTAGAGCTTCAAAAGAAATGGTTAGGTCATCAAGGTTCTGCCCTGGCAAACTGATTAGTATCACTATCACTGCAGTGGGTTAGTTATTGCCAAGAGTGGGCTTGTTTAAAAACAAAAGTGAGCGCAGATGTCAGCTACATGTCTATAATCCTAGGGGAGACAGAAGGATTGAGGTTTGAGGCCAACCTGGGCAAAGAAATCAGATCTTGTCTAAATAATGAGCTAGGCATGACAATGCACAATTGCTGTTCCAACTAATCAAAACGCAAAGTAAGAGGATCCAAGCCCTCTTACCTTTTTCTCCGTCGCTATCTGAAAAATAACTGAAGTAAAAAGAGATGTAAAGATCTAGGGCCAAATAATGTTGTTTCCCACAAATCCTTTAATATCTGCATTATTTGTTTTTCTGGCAAGTGGGGGAGGGGTGGGAAATTCTCTTTTAAAAGTACTAAGGAAAAAAAACTATGTATAGAACATACATTAAGGGACTATTTTTGGACACCCCAATACAGCTATAACCTTTAAAATACCCTTTCCATAATTTTGTTCTATAATTTACAAAAGCCAAAAGATGTGTGACCAAAATGCCAGAGCTGTCTCAGCCCTTAGCGTATTTTCCTATTCAATATAAGCATCATGTCTAGTCATTACAGATAGCTATTTTCTAGTTGTGAAGGTTTTTACATGCCTTATTACAATGATAGGGTAAGATAGAAGATAAAATTACTAATATTACTGAATGTTTCTTTAGATCTGGAAATGAGGTGTGGGGTGGGGGGGGACATAGCACAGGTGTTCTGCAATAGTGTGTTTCTTGTTATAAGTGCTTTTTAATGAAAATGAAATGATGTGTTATCTACATCTTAGTAAGAATTCTGACAAGTATCTATACCACCACTTCAATCATAGAATAGTCTGTTATCCAAAAAGTCCCTGAACTTCTTTGCAGTCTGCCCCTGAAACTTAACCTTTGTACCAGTCCCAAGTGTCATGGATATGCTTTCATTATAGATAAGTTTTACATGTTCTAGAATTATTTCTAATATCGAGCTAGTGTTAAGAATCCCCATTGCACAACATCATGGTAGTGTTTAAAATGTTTGAATAGAAACTTAAATAAGAATCATACTGAAAATGATCAAGGCCGGGGTTATAGATCAACGAGAAAGTGCTTGACTGGTATTCATACAGCTCTGGATTTGATCTTTGTTTCTGTAAGGAAAATTATTAATATACTTTTCAAATCCCTTCTAAGTTCTTTCTCTCTTCTCTTTGTAGTAATTTGTTGCAGAATCAGGATCATTTGTCCTATAGATTGATATACTATATTTTGTGTATTTAACATATTCCTGTCCTCTACTTTCTGTAGATAGCTCTACTAAGACTTGATATGATTGAGTGTCTACTTTTAGGGCCTCCTGAATTTTTAATTAGGTTGATTTTTGTTTGTTTCAGCAGAGTTTACTTAGGCAAAATAGTTTAATTCATTGGTTCAACTGAAAATTCCAGGGGATAGCATGAATTCAGGACATATCACATAATCATATCTTGGTTCTTCTGTCTTTTTACTTGATTCTGCTCTAAATTTTGGCTTCATTCCCAACATCTTCTCAGGTTCGAGTCCATGGGAAATAAGCAGCTCAACTTGTCACTAGCACTCCTTGTCCTGGCTTGGACCAAGCATCCATCCTGAGTCAATTAACAGCAGTAAAGAAATATGATACTCTGATTGGTTAGATTAGCCTGCCATAGAGGAGGCAATCTCACCAGAGCAACATGGACTGTTTCTGAATTTAAAAGAAACTTTCAGCCTTCTACCATCAGTTTGGTTTGCAAAGATTATTCTTATATTATTATGTGGTTACAATCACCTTTTGGTAGATGATCTTTACAGACAGTAATCCTTATTTATAAACAATGTCTACTGAGGTGGAGGAGTTTAGAAAGTGAAAGCCTAGACCTTTAAAACTGACCCCAAAGTCCCTCTCTACTAAGTCAGTGAGTACCCCCACCTCTTATCTGAGAGGTGAACTATAAAAAGAATGGTAACGTTTAGGTGTCAGTATTCGAGAAGGACGTGAGGAGAGGTGGGGCACAAGGGAGAACTAAGGATGGGTGAATGAGAAGCTGGCTTCGGACCATGAAGAACAAAGCGTGACCTAAGTGCCAGTGCCTCACGCCTGGGGACCCAGGAGGCTGAGATCTGGGAATCCTGGCTCCATGCCGGTCTGGGCAGGAAAGTCCACGAGGCTCACACGAGAAAGTGAAACGTCCAAAGAACTTCAAGAAGCCGGAAGTGGAGCTGCGACTCCAGGGGTAGAGCGCGATGCTGGAGTGCACAGGCCCCGGGGCAGCGCCCGAGCCAGCACGGCGCGCACGCGCACACACGCGCGCGCACACGCGGAAGTAACAACACGGGGACAAAGTATTTCACAGGTAGCACGGTGAGACCTACAGTCGGCTGGTTTTGAATGGCAGCTGCAGAGCACTGGGGTCTCCCAACGCCTCTCGCAGTGGTGACTACCTGTAAAGCAAGGGGCAAAAGCTTCACAGGGCCTGGCTGCTCCGGACCGGATCCCGCAGGGTGTCGCCGGCCCCGGGTCTGGACTTGCAGGGTCAGCGTCGTCCTCCGCCCGGCCTGACGCAGACGCCGGTCCCACAAACCCAGCGGCTTCCCGCGACCGCCTCTTCGCTCGCGTCACTTCCGGCCCCGGGCATCGACTTCCGGGTCAGGCTGAGCCTCCGGCTCTCAGTGACTGGTGGAGGTGCCGCGCTGTCCGCGTTATTTCCCGGTGGTGGCCGCCGCCGAGCGGAGAACCCAGCCCGCGTCCGGGGCCGAGGAGACCTGGGGAGGAGCCGCGGCCCGCGCCGGAGTGCACTGGCGACCCTGTTCCTCGGCTTGCTGCTGTGTCGGGGGAGTGGGTGCCGGCGCCGAGGGGGCCCCCTCCCGACCGCGACCCCCTTCCCCGGCTCCCCCGCCCACCCTGCCGGGGGAGGGTGGAGGAAGATGCCGGTGAAGAAGAAGAGAAAAGCCTCCGGGGTGTCAGCCGCCGTGGCGGAGGACGGAGGCCTCAAGAAGTGTAAGATCTCCAGGTACCGCCTCGCCACCGCCTCCCTCCCGCTGCGGGCCCGCCGGGGTGGGGGGATGGGCGTGGAAGCGGGGGGCGGGGAGGGCCCGCTGCGGACCCCCGGGGCGCTCGGGGTGGACCCCGAGCCCGCCGCGGTGTTCGCACGCGTGCCCGCCCGTCTGCGGACGAGCTGCAGCGGGCCCCCCGCGGGCCAGGGAGGGTGCCCGTGCGAACTGCGCTCTGCCCCCCTTCCCCTTCCCTCCCTTCGCCTCCCCTTCCCCCACCCCCACCCCCAAACCTAGAAGTGAGCCCCGGCCGGACCTGCGGGTAGGGTCACTTCTAGAACCTCTTTGTGGAATGTGAAGAAAGGAGCAGAGCCTGCGGAATCTTAACTACCGCCTTGGGAATGGTAGAAAGGAAAACTAAGCTAATTGGCGTCCAGAGTTGAGTATTTACTGTGGCCCCAACTGGACGATCTCCCTCTCCCTTCCCCCCACCTTCCCTCCCTCCCTCCCTCCCTCCCTCCTCCACCGGCAGGAGGCCTTTTAAATTGCTGGAACCTATTTTCTCGAAGGACAAGTGCCTGCACCTCTTCCAGTTCCCAGTGTGGGGAGTTGGAAAGACCCCGAGTGCTTTTGTGTTCCAGCCTCGTAACTCAGTCCTAAGTATTAATAACTTGAGCAGCTATTGTACTGCTTTCCCTTGGAGAAAAAGGAGACAAAGCAAAATTGTAGTTGCATGTCATTCAGGCATCAGAAACATTTGAATGCTGTGAAAAGGCCTTGCAGTTTAGGTGTGGGAAACGGCCTTTGGTGTTTGTATAGCAGTGGTTGTCCACTTCAGATACTACCATTGAAACAAGACCGTAGCCACCATTTTAACGAGGAAGTAATAACAGGGCTATCCTTAAAGAGAGATCTCCCATTTAAAATGTGAAAGAGGGGACCTGTACAGTTTTATCTTCCTTTTCGTTTTTTTCTTTCATTGGTATGCTTTGGCAGAATTGCTGAAGGAATCCTTCTAGGGCCATAAATGCGATACACTTTCCTCATGCCACTTGGTAGTTTTGACCTGGTTACTATATCTGCTCATATTTTATGAGACATAGACAAATTAGAGTTTGGGGTTATTTTCTATTTTGGGGGGAAGGGATTAAGTCACAGTCTTGCTATGTAGCCCAGGCAGACTACCAAGTGAGATTTCAGGCATACATCATAGTATATACCGTCTCAAAATTAAAACATCTTAAAATAGCGGATAAGGCAATATTAGAACTCAAATCAGTTGAGATTTAAAATTTTGCGTCATTTTACATTCCATTAATCCGGTGCCGAAATTTAAGTATTTCTTATATCATTGAGCTTCATCTCCTTATTTGAGTTTCTTGAGAAAATGTTTTTGGAAGCCCAGTAAATCCTAGGGGCCAATTTTTAACTTTCCAACTTTTAACAATTTTATGAAAAAAGATCTGGCATGAAATAGCTTTGACCTAATTATTTGGAGTATTCTTTGAGACTTTTGTTGTAGTGATTCTGCTGTTTTAATCTTTGGAATTTAAAATGCCTTCAAGTGCCAAGTTGCCGTTTATCTTTTAAAAATCTGTTTAATAGGTAATAAGCAGCTCTTAATGTAACATTTTATTTTGAATATTGAAGTATCATAATACATTTTCTAAGACATTGTTTTCAAATATATGTAATTTATACAAAACAATTTCCATGTAAGTCAGTAGCAGAATCACAAAGATTTATACATATCCAGTTTTTCATGGAGACTTCGGTTGGACTTTCTGTATAGTCTTGAAATCTGGGAAGTAAATTTGGTTATGTTTTGGAATTTTGGAATCTGGGTTTTGTTAGAAATTCTTAGGTGTAAACTACTTTTTCAAATTGCAAATATTTAACTCGATTTTTTTTCCTGATAATGCCAACTTACTGTTTCATTTGAATTGAACTAGTTCTTATGTTTCACTAAGAGTTGAACTTAATAAACATCTTAAGCATTTCTGTGTTTTCTAAGCTATTGCAGACCCCAACCCCCTGCTAGACTAATAAGTGGAGAGGAAGTTTTTTCAAGAAAGAAGTGCCTGGCTTGGTTTTATGAGTATGCAGGTAATGAAATTAATGTAAGAAGACATCAGTCATTTGCTTGAAAAATGTTTGTTTGTTTGTTTAGCTAACAAATTATTTATTGCAGGACTGCTGTGTTGTAGTACTGTTTGTTGGGACAAGGTCAGATCTAAAAATTGTGGCTATTTGGTACCATTTAAGGCTGACACATATTTAAATAATATAGGAGAAGAAGAAACTCTTACTGTTACTATGCACACCCACACAAGTTCACTTACTAATTAATACCCATTGGCTAACAAAAGTCTTTTTGGGAAACAAAAGCTGCCTAAAATTTGTTTTGTAATATTCTTTGTTTTTATAATTTTTTTCCTGGTCTAGAGTCTAATATTTTCTGAAATGTGGGGAGACAGCCAAAGATTTAAACCTTACATACATCCTCCTGCAGTGCTTGTACCATTAATGGTTATTTTATGTAGCCATTTACATTTACTCCAGATATAATAAAAAGTAAGAAAGTAAATAGACTAATATTAATACAGTGTAGAATTTGATAGGAGTAATACATAACCCAGCCCTGAAAGTATCAAGTGAACCTTTTGGAGTAGTGAACTAACCTGAGCTAAGTCCTGTAAGTGATAGATGGAAACCTATAGGACCAAGTAAGGCCATACCATAGAGGTGAAAGTCTAAGCTAGCTGAGGCTGAAGAGTTAGATAAATACATAAAAAGATACTTGTTTCCCTTATTATTACTTTTTCATATATTTAAGTTTTTCTTCCTTAGACTAGTTACATGTCTTTTGGAGTTAGTGATTTTAAAGTAACTTTTTTTGGAGGGCAGGGGTCTTCCCTGTTCCTTTTGCTTACTTTCCCTACTTTTATTTAATTTTTTCCCCTTACTGTCATTCTCACAGTCTTTATTTAAAATAAAGGCAAGTAGATACTTAATGCCTTATATTTAGTACAAATCCATGTTAAGGTCTAAGATCTTTTCATTTCAAATTCAAATTTGAATTTGAAGTTAAGTTTAGCCTAACTGTGTGGGAAGTAAGACTGAAAAGGGGCATCGACTTTGCTGTTGAGAGCAGCCAAATGGTCCCAGAAGTATAATTTAAAAATTGTTCAGCAGATTTATTCTAGACCAAGGAAAAAAAAAAAAAAGAATGCTATTACTGGCATCCCAAGACAACCACTAACCCAATTTAGTTGAAGGAAATTCATTTCTTACTGACTTCCATTTAAGTTGATGACCCATTATCTTAAATGCCAGTTTTACTGACATACATGCTATGCAATCTAAGGATCACTATTTATGTTACTTACTATATAAAAAGTACTAAGTACCATAAAAATAACTAGTACATTTTTTTCTTTTACATGCTTACATGTTGTAGCTCTACTTGGAACTTTCCTGGTTATCATAAATTCCTATGCGTTAAACATTATCAGCATCTCAGTAGTCACCGTATTAATTGCTGTCATTTTAAGAATTGTGCTAAGTATATCATTTTTTTTTTCCTTGTGACTTTTCTGTTAAATAAGTGACACCATCCTCATTTTATGAATGAGAAAACTGAGGATAAATTGAGTAATTTTCCCAAGGCCATACAATCCCAAGAGCCAGGATTGAAACCCCAGTCAGCTCCAACCATGCTTCGCATTACTGTTGTCTCATGCTTAGGGCTTTTTTTTTTTCATATAAATGTTTACACTACTGTGGAAATAGCAACTAATTTTCACTTTTACAGAAAAATACTAATAAACACAGTTAAGGTTCTCTGTCATTCAGTAATTCATTCAGTAAATATTTAGCACTTGTTTGTGAGTCAGACACTGCTGAATGCTTGAGATATAATATTGAAGAATGCAACATGATCTCTTCCTTCAGGATTCTTGGCTTCTAGTGAGAAAGGTAGATAGTGAACAGGGATGTAGGCAAGGTAGTTGCAGATTGTGGAGGGTCATGCAGGTGAACAAGAGGAGGTTCAGGAATAGAGAATAAGGAAGAGTTGGATAAAGTTTCAGTTAAGAGTAATCAGGTAAGACCTCTCTATAGAGACTGTCTAGGCAGAAACCTTCCTAATAGAGGAGAATCGATTGTTAAATAAATAATAATTTTTCTGTCTTAAAATGTGGGTGTCTTTCATTTAGGCTCATAGATATAAAGCACTTAGCATAGTACCTTGTGTGTGTGTATGCGTACAACTCAGTTATTAGAATCTACAACCTATCTTTTATGTTGTTCCAAAATTTAACTACTACTGACAAAGGCACTGTGTCACAGCAATTTCTGTTTTTTTGTTTTCCCTAGTATTTTTTTATGGCTGACGTGGTATTAGACCCGTATATATAGCTAGAAAAATTTCTTTGTGGTTATAAAGAAATTGGGAAGGCAAAAGTACATAATTCTTATAATTTTGAAAATATCCTGCTGTAAGTCATATGTAATAAACTGTTCATTTTTCTCTTTCAAGACACCTGCTACTTTTGTTGTTATTGTTGTTGTTCATAGAGCTTGAATTCAGGGCCTCGGTGCTGTCCCTGAACTTATTTGCTCAAGGCTAGCACTTTACCACTTTGAGCCATTGCACCACTTCCGGCTTTCTTGTGGTTAATTGGAGATAGGAATCTAATGGACTTTTTCCTTGCTGGGCTGGCTTTGAACTGTAATCCTTAGATCTTAGCCTCCTGAGTAGCTAGGATTACAGACTTGAAGCACTGACACTTAAGTAATACTTAAATGAACAAGAATTCAATGATATATACAATGAACTCCCTGATATTACCTGTGATGTTAATTCAGAAATAGAATTTGAAGAGAGAAAAATCAGTGGTAGTAACTGTCCCATGTAATAGCTCTGTTCTGCTCTTCACACAGCAAAATTTTAGGGTACTGAAGTCCCTTATAGAAGATGGGTTAGTATTTGCATTTAACCCATGCATATCCTACTGTATACTCTATATCTATCATCCCTAGGCTTCTGATGCCTAATGTAATATAATGTGGTGTAGATGTTTTCATAATGATGAGAAAACAAATTTGTGCATGTTCAGTACAGACAGTATTTCTGATTAGCTCATGACTGTAGAAATCAACTATATACAAAGCCTATGTAAAGAAAAACTTGAGGAAATGTTTTGCTAATGGATCTTTAAAATTTTCAACAAACTAGTAATAGATATTAATGGAGCATTTCTTTACTATTTTCAAAATGTCTTCATATTGTGACATATTAAAAAAATATTTTACAAGTTTTAAATTCTAAATCACGTACCAAATATTAATGCTATGCCAAATTCAAATTCAGTTACTTGTAAATTATTATATTGTATTTATGGATGACCTTAGCATAATAGTCTGCTTTATGTTAATGTTAAATTATACTAAAATATATAAATCACGTTTTTGTTTTTGAAGGTCCTGATGAAGTTGTAGGGCCAGAAGGAATGGAAAAATTTTGTGAAGACATTGGTGTTGAACCTGAAAATGTATGTTTTATTTCTAAGTAGAATGGAATATAAGTGGGGTATATCATATTCATAAATTTCTAAAAATTGAGATTTTAATCTTACATGAAGATTTTCTCATATTTAACGTAAATTTGCACTTAAGATACTTTTAATCTGCTTAAACTGGGCAAATGTTCTCAATACGAATGTCATTTATAATAGAGTAAGAGAGATTCTACCTTCATAAACGATTAGAAATTTCTACTTTTAAGAAATTGTCTGGCACCTTTCAGTTTCTTTATAGTTAATAATCCCCAGCGATTGTTCTCATTAATAGTTGGAGGTTTGAAATAGTTATAAAAATACTCTCCATGATAAAATATAGCCATGATTATCTCTATGCTGACTTTTCCCCTATCCTTTATGTTCTGTTCTTTCCAGATTATTATGTTAGTTTTAGCGTGGAAATTGGAGGCTGAAAGCATGGGATTTTTTACCAAGGAAGAATGGTTAAAGGGAATGACTTCATTACAGTAAGAAAATTTTTTAAAAAACAAATTTGATAGCCTATTTGAAGATCTTATTGGTATTTTGTGCTTCATCATTTTCAGTTGGTTTGATTTATAACAGTGTGGGAATTGACAGTTATATTGTGGGTTTGACAAGTGAGTAGTGAACCCATTTTTCATACTCTTTAAGGAAAGAACTTCAGTGCAGTCTAATTACTGTTGATTTTCCTGAGTACATTACAAGTCTTTGATAAAAGCTATTTGTTCATAGGATGAGTAATAAAGGTTTTCCAGGCTTTCACATTCTGAATTACAAACTCCACAATATGAAGTTTGTTGATTGTCCTAAAATCTAGGGCCTCCTCTCTTCTCTAATAAATTTGAAGATAGCATTACATGACTTTTTTTTTTTTTTTAGTTACATTTACATGACATGACTTTTTTTTTTTTTTTTTTTTGCCAGTCCTGGGGCTTTCACTCAGGGCCTGGGCACTGTCCCTGACCCGCTTTTGTTCCTAGCACTCTACCACTTGAGCCACAGTGCGACTTCAAGCTTTTTCTGTGTATGTGATATTGAGGAATAGAACCCAGGGCTTCATGCATACTAGGCAAGCACTCTACCACTAAGCCATATTCCCAGCCCCATAACATGACTCTTTTCAGATATTTTTTTTTTTTTGCCCAGAACTTATAGAAAAATAAAACTAGTGATGTTCTGTAGTTCCCAGGTAGCCATTTAATATTTGTATATCTTGAGTTTAGAGCTATCTGAATATTTTGCAAATTATAGAATTGTTTTCCTATTAAAACAACTTGATTTTGTTTTTCTAAGATTGAATTTAATTTCACAATCAATTAGTAGTTTGTGGAAACTTTATAGTATGTCGGTTCTTAATAGTAATTCGGATGTTATAGTCAACATTCTAAAGCTGAGGAATTGTCAGTTTATAATATTTTTTTGTTGGCATGCTTGTTTGTTTTGAGGTGCCTGGAATTAAACGCAGAATTGCACAGGCCAGGCAAGTGCTCTACTACTTCGCTACATCCTCAGCTCTAATTTATATTATCTTTAAGTCAGGAACTGAGTATTATTAGCAATGATTTCTTGTTGTTATGCTTTTATTAACATGCTTAAATACTGTTAATCCTTATTTATCTGCCCTTCAAAATTTTCTGTTACATTTGAATTTCCATTATCTAATGCATGTTTGTCTTTTTAGACTAGCATTAACATGGATAGTTCATAAAAATTTTTCTTGACTAAAAACTTTTCCTCAGCTGAACCAAATCATAATTTTTGCAATGGAACATAAAATCAAACTTTCCATTATTTGTAAATGAGCAACCTGAGCATCAACTAAGTTAAGAAAATATTTGGCAGAGTTTACACAGTTTCTTAACAGCAGAGTTAGGATCTAAAATTTAAATTCCCTGATTACCAGTCTGCCACCACACTTCTATCATATTATTCTCTAATAGATAAATTAGGTTCTTTTCAAAATTTTTTAAATTACAGTATTTGTAAACACCAAGAATGATTTCAGTCATATACTTAGGTATCCTAATATACCCATTAAATGTACTAATCCTGAAATTATTTGGGCAATTTCCTACATTTAGTTACCATTTTAGATAAAGTAACATGTACAAACATTATACAAAGAAATATAAGCTGGTTTCTATTTAAATTGTTATGTGTAACCTGGCTTTCTGAATCTAAAATATTTGACATATGTGCTCTTGTTATTTCTATTTTTTGCATACTGCTTTTTTATAGTATCCCATCTCATAGATGGTTTTGTATTTTAAAAACAAAAGTTCTGGCCAGGTGTTGGTGGCTCACACTTGTATTCTTACCTACACAGAGGTTTGAGATCTGAGGATCACTGTTCAAAGCCAGCCTAGCCAGGAAAAGTCCTTGAGACTGTCTCCAATTAGCAACAAAAGAACTGGAAGTGGAGCTGTGGCTCAAGTGGTAGAGTGCTAGTGTTCAGCACAAAGCTAAGGGACAGCACCCATATCCAGAGTTCAAGCCCAAGGGCCCCCCCCCACCCTGGGGGGTGGGTAGAGTTCCTTATTGTTGATGCTTTTGCATAAGTAGCTATAAAGTGCCCTTCTATAATTAAAATATGTAAACAAAAAACTTGTTTTTACTCCTGAATATTTAGCATGTGGTCTTCAACATAAGTAACCAAACATACATTTGCTATAGGAATTTCACAGGCTATCTAAAATAAAAGTAAATTATTCACTATGTAAAATGCCTAGGAACTTTGTCACTTGTTTATCATTCCTTTCCCATTTGCCTAGAACAATACGCCACAGAGCTTTGAAAGTACTCAAGTATGCATTCTGACGTGGGAAAGCAGTTGATTTTTTTCCCCATGAGCTAGATTGCTAGATTGCTATGTGAGTACAAAGTACTTTTCTTCAATTGGCCAAGACCTATTACTCTCTGAATGTCCCTGTGATAAATTTGCAAGAATTAAGTAGCATGAAGTTTGAAATTGAAACCAAGGGACAAAAAGTGATCTTTATGCATAAATTTTAAGAATCGATAGGCATTTTAATATTCTTAATTTTATATAAGGTGATAAAAATCTGCACTCTCCTTTCCAAACATATATACATACATATATATATATAATGTATTTGGACTGGTGTTTTGTTTTGTTTTGTCGGTCATGGGGCTTGAACTCTGGGCTTGGGCGCTGTCCTTGTGCTCTTCAGCTCAAGGCGAGCGCTCTACTACTTGAGCCACAGCACCACTTCCGGTTTTCTAGCGGTTTATTGGAGATAAGAGTCTCACGAACTTTCCTGCCCAGGCTGGCTTTGAACCGAGATCCTCAGATCTCAGCCTCCTGAGTAGCTAGGAATACAGGCGTGAGCCATCAGCGCCCAGCTTGGACTGGTGTTTGAACTCAAGACCTCATGCTTGTTAGCATGTGCTTGCTAGGCTGGAGCTCTGCCCGTAAGCCATGCCTCTAGCCCTGCCTTTTGTTGATTTATTTTGGAGATGAAACCTAGCAGACATTTCTTCTAGACCCTGATTCACCATCCTCTAATTCAGCCTCCTGAATAGCAAGGATTATCAACATGAGCCACTGTATCCAGCTGAAATGGTATCAGATTTTTGAGCACAGGAATGAATCAAAGATTTTGGGGATCATTGTCAATGAGCAGTTGTTCTTCATGTTTTAAAGTCATAGTCTTCTGAGAATTTTATGCAGACTGGACCTTGTACCTATTAAGATGTACTATTATACACCAAATTTTGCCTATATTATATTCTTCCATCTACAAAATTCCAAGGATACTTGAAAGTTTTATCATGACATGCTATACTAGGGTGAAAAACTTTGAACTGCTAGCTACAAGTTTGGTGTTGAAGCAATACTACCTATGCTGGTGGAAAAAAACTGGTTTTCAAAGAGCTGCAACCCTTTGAAGAGGCCTGTACTTGACTATGATAATGAAATAAGCATGCAGGTAGCATCTGACAATAGTGGTAGAACAAAGTTGCCTGCCAGGAGGGTGCAGGTAGCACATTTTCTGGGCTTCATATTGAACCCTGGAGGGTTTGTTGCTTGTTTTGTTTTGTTTTGTTTTTTTGTTTGCCAGTTGTGGGGCTTGAACTCTGGGCATGGGCACTGTCACTGAGCTCTTTTTTTTTTTTTTTTTTTGGGTCCGGTCGTGGGGCCTGAACTCTGGGCTTGGGTGCTGTCCCTCAGTTCTTCAGCTCAAGGCTAGTGCTCTACCATTTGAGCCACAGCGCCACTTCTGGCTGTTTTTCTTCTTGCTTATGTAGTGCTGAGGAATCGAACCCAGAGCCTCAGGCATGCGAGGCAAGCGCTCTACCACTGAGCCACCTTCCCAGCCCCTCCTCACTGAGCTCTTTTTGCTCTCTAGCACTTGTAGCCACAGGGCCATTTCTGGTTGTCTGGCAGTTGATTGGAGATAAGAGTCTCATGGTTTTTCCTGCCTGGGCTGGCTTTGAACTTTGATTCTCAGATCTCAGCCTCCTGAGTAGCTAGGATTACAGGTGTGAGCCACCAGCACTGGGGTAACCCTGGACTTTGGAAGAAAAGAGGGAATGAGTTGTTTTGAATTAAAGGAAAGGAATACTTTTTTCATTTGTTCATTTTTAGTGGAGCAGAAGTAGTAAGGTAGCTGAGATGCTATGGTGGGTGTGGTATGTAACTGTCATTCTTTTGGTACCCAAGAAACTGCAATTAGCATTCCTCACTTTTCCATCTCTGCTGTTCCCTAGGGTAAACATGACAGTTTCAAGATGCACTGACTATTTGCAGATACTCTTACAAGTAGACTGAATTTCTGTAGTTGGTAAAGCTGATTGAAAATTCTAAATCTAATATTGTGGAATAAAGCTCTTTGCCATGCCTTTATTTGTCACAGCGTATTTATCAAAATTCACTCATTAGAAGAGAATCTCACTTAGGTCTGTTATACAAAAGAGGCCTTCCTCAAGACTGGAGATGTGGCTCTAGTGATAGAGCATTTGCCTAGGTTCAGTCCCAAGAACAAAACAGCTTGTTCTACAGATCTTAAATAAGCAGAAATCCAAAAGCCGCCTTCTATAATCAGATGGTTAACAACATCAGAAAGTTAATTTCTGAAATTGAAAGTTTTGTTGTCATTCTAAACATAATGGTTTTATTTGGTTGTTCTTAAAAATGATCTTGCTTCCCATGATAAACTACTTAAAACTCATTTCTCTTTAAAGGAAGTATTTCTAAACTTTCCAAGTCCTGAGATACAGACCCTTGGAACTATTTATTTGGGACCTAAACATGTGTTGATGTTAGCAACTCCTTGCAGTATGTTAACTAGCTTTTGCAAGGCCATAGGACACTTGTAGTGTAGAAGTTTGTGCTCTTACTCTTTCACTCAGTTCTTCTAGATTTTTTCCTGCTCAACATTTACAATTTGTAATTTAGAATAGAATATAGCCAGGCACTGGTGGCTCACGCCTGTAATCCTAGCTACTGAGGAGGCTGAGATCTGAGGATCACGGTTCAAAGCCAGCCCGGGCAGAAAAGTCTGTGAGACTCTTATCTCCAATTAACCACCAGAAAACTGGAAGTGGTACTGTGGCTCAAGTGGTAGAGCACTTGCCTTGAGCTGAAGAGCTCTGGGATAGCACCCAAGCCCAGAGTTCAAGCCCCATGACCAACCAAAAAAAAAAGAGAATAGAATATAGTTTGGACAGAAGTAAGTAGTAAAGATGACTTTTAATCCCTTTGTTTGAAAAGGAAAGTAATTAAGCTAAAGACCCACTAAGAATTTCACACATTGCTGTAAAGTTTATGTTAGCTAATATTAAAATAGGTCCTATTGCTTTCTTGAGATTGTTTCATTATATGTTATTTTTTAGTTATTTTACTTTGCTTGCTTATAGCTTATACTTTGAAAAGTTATGCTCCTCTAATCATAAAATAGTTGGATCATTTTTTTGTATGTGTTGTGTCTTACGTTTCTCAAACCAAGATCCAACCTATGCCTCTTGCATAGCTACAGCCCGGGTTGGTTGAAATGGGAGTCTTTCTACCTTTTGACTGGTCTAGCCTCAAACTTCAGTCTTCCTACTCTCTGCCTTGTAAATAGTTGGGAATAACTAAAATTCCATTTGTTATCACACCTAAACCTGGATTATGGTTTGTTTTCTTTTAATCCACTCTGTCATTTCTAATTGATACTTAGACCATTTATGTCTCATGATGGTTAATGTTAGGATATAAATCTACCCTTTGCAGTTTGAAGATTTTTAGTTTTTTTTTTTTTTTTGGCCGGTTGTGGGGCCTAAATTCTGGGCCTGGGTGCTGTCCCTCAGTTCTTTAGCTCAAGGCTAGTGCTCTACCATTTGAGCCAGAGCACCACTTCTGGCTTTTTCTGCTTATGTGGTTCTGAGGAATTGAACCCAGGGCCTCATGCATGCAAGGCAAGTACTCTACCACTCAGCCACGTTCCCAGCCCCTCTATTTAGTTTGAATTCATATTTCTTTTCTTAGATTTCTCTTTCTTTGCTTACACTTTTGTCTTTTCATTTGTTTTGGTGCTTTTTGTTTGCCAGTCCCAGAGCTTGAACTCTCAGCTCAAATCTAGCACTCTACCACTTGAGCCACAACTCTACTTACAGCTAATTTTGGTAGTTAATTGAAGATGAGAGTCTCATAGACTTTTCTGCCCAGGCTGGCAGGATCATCAGATCTCACCCTCCTGAGTAGCTAGGATTAAAGGTGTGAGCTACTAGCAGCCAGCTGGTGGGTTCTTATTTGCTTATTAGAGCATTTTTATGACAATTGCTTTGAAGTCTATAAAAACTACTAAACACGTAGCTGAGCACCAGAGGGCACCGGTGGGTTAGTATGAATTCATGTTCCCCTTGAGGTTTCTGTTATACTGCTGGATTTGAGAGAAACAGGAGGGTGGACATTTTAGGTCCCCATTTAAGCTTTAGTGGCATTGGTGGGATTTGGACCACAGTTATGCTTAACTGGAATAGAGTGTGTTTCTTTGTAGTGCTGGGGATCAATAGTAGGACCTTATGTATGCTAAGCAACAACTCAGTGTCAGCTGCAGCCCTTCTCTGGTGCTTGATTTGATTTTGAAATAGTCTCTGTATTTAGTTTACCAGGCCTCGATTCCTTTGTAGCTAGGCTAGGCTGACTGCACTTGTGATCCTCCTTACTCTGCCTCCCCAAAATGGTAGTACTCACCGCCATGTCATTCCGCTCGTCTTCACCGATAGAGCCTTCTCATGTGCTATTTATGGATGAGGGTAAGACTACAGGTTTATGACAAATTGTGAGGATTTTTTTGGGGTTTTTTTGCTTTGCTTCTTGTTCTATATAGTAAAACCTACTGACCCAGTGAGAGAAATCCAGTCAAGATTGAAGAGCATTCTGTTGATTTAGTTACTATGCATGTCTAAAGTTAGGTACTTCTATGATTGATTTAGACCTTTTAAACTAAAAATGAGGGAATGTGGACTTATGACTCCAGGTATTAATTTCCTCTGAGTTGTATCCTAAACCTTTAAACCCACTAATTTCTTTTACCAAGCTGTTACTTAAGAACATCCAAAGGAAATTTGACAGAGGCCTGATTTAATTTGCTCTGCTCTTTATTTTTTTCTCCACTTGTGGTAAAATCACATTTTAATACATCTTTTAAGAGTTACTCTGATTTGGAGTGTTTGGGGTTTGGGGACTTATTTTTGGCAGTGCAGGGGATCAAAGACAAGACCTTACACATGTTAGTCAAACTCTGCACACTGATTGCTGCCATCAACCCAAGAGATAATTTATGATTCTATTGGATACTTTGAATTTTGTGGAGTTTTTTTTTTCCTTGTAAAGAATTATTGGCATGAACTTCCAGTCAATTCAGGCAGATTTTTCTTGGTTTCTTTTGTTACTGAATGGAAGATTCAAGACAGCAAGTTTGTTATTTTAAATTTGAATCGGGATTTTAAATCTAAATTAACTGTATAAATGCACTAGTTTTTTTCTTAATTCATTTTTTTAAGAATGCCTTAACTTAATTTTCTTGATTATATTTTTTTTAATTTAAGGTGTGACTGCACAGAAAAGTTACAGAACAAATTTGACTTTTTGCGCTCACAGCTGAATGATATTTCATCGTTTAAGAATATATACAGATATGCCTTTGATTTTGCAAGGGTAGGTGCAATTTCCGTGTTTAGTCATTGCCATGGTTTTTTATCTTCAGACCATACTTAGGAAAGTTTCTTACTTCATTTCAGGATAAAGATCAGAGGAGCCTTGATATTGATACTGCTAAGTCTATGTTAGCCCTTCTGCTTGGGAGAACATGGCCACTCTTTTCAGTATTTTACCAGTACCTGGAGGTATGTGTGTTTTGTTTTAATGTTTTTTAGTACTTAATTTGATTGAAAAAAATATTTTTAATTGAGGCACAATGGATTTTTTAATACTATTCTTTAAAAAAGAAAAGAATAAAAGCAGCTTGAGGCAAGGCCTGTAATCCCCACTGGGCAGGAGGAAGAAATTGAGATATCATGGTCTGAGGCAGCACTGGGCCAAAAAAATGAAAGAAAAAAAAAGCATGAGACCCTATTTGAAAAACAAACTGAAAAGGACTGGAGGCATGGCTTTTTTGGTTTGAGCAAGGCAAGGTTCTAGAGTCCAAACCTTAGTACCACACACACATACACAAACACATAAATCTGCTTGTTAGTGATAAAATTCTTCAAAAATGTATGTATATCTTGGTGTTTTAGGTGTGAATTTATTTGATATGTTCTTCTGGTAAGATATTTTTGGACTACTTAGGTAGCTCAGAATAGAGTATGTGCTTAGCATGTTTTAGGCCCTGGGTTCAATCCTCAGCATCCCATTTAAAGAAGAAAAAATATTTTTACCCACGTCTCCATCTCAAAAAGAGAACTAACAAACAGATTTTTGGCATAGACATTCCTCATACAAGATAAATTGTTGGGGAGGATTGCAAGAGATAACAGACCCTAGCACACAAACATCAAGCTTCTAGGGTCTAGGCTAAAATGTATATGAGAGAACCCATAATATTAATAAATTCTACTTTTCTAGTTAGAGTCAATATGAGGCTTTAATGTTTTATGTCCAAAAATATAAGAACCACTATAATAGCATGCTTAACTATACTGATAATTTTTTAAAAATATGCTGAAATTCATAAAGTAGGTAATGCTTTTAAAAGACACAGAATTCATAAAGTAGGTAGTGCTTCTAAAAGACATATCTACTAGATGCAGTGTCTAAGAAGAGACTATTTTCCATTCCTTTCTTTGTCTAGTTTTATATGTTTTATGTCTTCTTTTTTTTTTTTTTTTGTGGTCATTCGTGGGGCTTGAACTCTGGGCTTGGGTACTGTCCCTCGCTCTTCAGCTCAAGTTGAGCACTCTATCACTTAAGCCACAGTACCACTTCCAGTTTTCTGGTGGTTTACTGGAGATAAGAGTCTCACAGACTTTTCTGCCTGGGCTAGCTTTGAACCTCAATTCTCAGATCTCAGCCTCCTTAAGTACTAGGATTACAGTTGTGAGCCACCCACCACCCACACTGGGCTTACTTTATGTCTTTTTTTTTTTTTTTTTGTGAGAATACCATACAGAGTAGTTAGAATTACATGGGCAAGATAACGAGTACATTTCTTATCAAGTATTGTTGCCTCCTCTTTGTTTCCCCTTCCCATCCCTTCCCATACTTCCCCTTCCCCCCCACTTCCTCCCCCCCACCAAAGTTGTAAAGTTTGATATTCGATATGACTTGTAGATCTCATTGTTGCAATGGGTCCACCTGTATCTATCCCTATTTAAATGATTTGTTTTTGCCCTTCCCCTCCACAAATTACACCAACATCAAATACAGTGAAAGCATGGATTATACCGTGGGGGAAGGACATACAAAGCAACATAGAAATCATCTTATAAATATGTTAGAAACAATTGTATGAAAAAAAACTTTATGTCTTTTAATTTGTTTTTTGATACAACTCTCACCAGTTCTTGAATAAACATGCCTTTTCCTTTTGGAAATAATTTCCTACAAAGCTGATTGCTTCACTGAATTTTTTGGAGTGGCTTTATTTAAAGTTTGTATGAAAAGATCTGTGTGAGTGAGTTTTGCACACAGTTAAACTTGTACGCCTGATAAAGTAGGTATTATTGGTGAGTGACATACATTTCTCCTACTAGTAGTTTTGGCCAAAAAGAGATTAAATGTAAAAATAATCACTTGTAAAGGGAGCTGAGAAGAATTAAACATTTTCAAGCACTTCCTTTACTTTTCTCATTTAGCAATTGCGGAATAAAGGTTATATTCCTTTTCTTTTTTAAGTCTTTTTAGGTTTTGTTCTTAATTTTGGTGGCATCTTTTGTTTGTTGTTGAGGTTTTTTTTGAAGTGATATCTCACTAGTCCAGGCCTGGCCTCTAACTCAAAATTCTTCTTTAATCTCCACAGTACTGGGATTAGGCATGTACTACCAAGCCAGGCTTAGATTCTATTCTTAAATAGCCTTGTCACTCAGACAAGTATCAAGTGGGATTTGAACCCAAGCCTACATTCTTTCTTCTACCTCCATAGATAACAGCCTCAAGATGTAGCTCATGCAAGAAACTATTGATAGGGAATTGATACAAAGTAAGTGTTCTATATCTTGATTTTGTTGGTAGTTACACGATATGCGTAGATAGATATGTCAACCTACTATATTTCACACATAAGGATATATTTATATCATACATATAAGATATATATCTTTTCATAGCGATATGGATATCTATATATAATTAGATATATGTATCTTATATCTATCTTCTATATATATCAAGATATATAGATGTCTTTTGATATATAGAGATATCTACATGTAGAAGATATACATTGGTATATATCCTCATTTGTGAAATGAAGTGAGTTTTAGTCTTATCAGTTGAATCTTTTTATTTACTATTATTCCTCAGAAATGAAAGAAAAATAATGGAAAAATAGGTGGTGTTAATGTGTAAATGCTTTTTGAGCATTCTGCAAAAGCACAAATAATTGATGGAAAAATAAATGTTTTGGGAAAAAACAAATCACAACTAGAGTTACTAAAATTACTAAACTAGAGTTACTCAAAGAAGTAATGTTTGTTCTGTGGTTAACATATATCTGTTACTTCCACAGCAATCAAAGTACCGTGTTATGAACAAAGATCAGTGGTATAATGTGTTAGAATTTAGCAGAACAGTCCATGCCGATCTTAGTAACTATGATGAAGATGGCGCTTGTAAGTATAATGTAATAAATTTCCATGAAAATAAAATTCTGAAAATAAGAAGGTATGCATTGAGTAGTATTGATGAAAATAATAGTCTTAAAACATCATAACGGTATTTTATATTATTTAATCATGTACCGTAGAGATAGAAAGCTTAGACTCAGCAATGTTACAGAATTTTGCTAGTAACTGAAATTTTTTCCATTCCTTACAAACTAAGCATTACAGCTAAATTTAAATGACAGTTTCTTGACAGTTGTTTTTTTTTTGCCCAAAAGTAAGATTTTTAGCTTCAAGAAATGATACCTGTCTTTTGGGAGAAAAACTGCAATCACTGATTTTTAAAATATGAAAATGAAATGGTTTTTCTGATTGTTCTACTTTCAATACAAAATAATAATAGAAGAGACTTTTAAAACTAATATAGGACCCATTAAACAACAGTATAATGCCAAATAAGTTCCCTCTCAAAACTGCAGATAGGTTCTGAGTAAACTCAAGTGTGTTTAATTTTCTAGTGTATAATTTTCTAGTCCTTCCAAGTTAAAATATTTGTATTCTCCATTGAAATGGCTAGAATGTCCAAAGCGATTTTTGAATAATGATAAATGTAATTTCTAGAACTATAAATTTTCAGTTTATTATTTTGACTATGCATTGTTTTAACATTTAGAATGGCTACATGGAGAAGTATATTCCTTGAAAATGCAAACTAAAATTAAGCATTTAATTCTGTGAGATGAAGAAATAAGATCCTGAAAAAGGATAATCTTGATTTTTCCTTATATATAGCATGCCCTTCTACAGGATAACATAAAATGAATAATATTTTAATGAGACAACACTGCAGTACATTGTCAGCTCAAAGCCTACACAAAGCAGATATGAAAATTGATGTTTGTTGAACCACCATTTAAAACTGGGAGATTTTGTGTAGAAATAAAACTTCTGGATTTGTTTGAATAAGAAAAATCGACAAAACTGTACCTGTATTCCTTTGTAGAATTCAGAGGTTGGAGCTAAGCAATAGCTTGTGCTGAAGTTGCTTTCCAGTTTGACAATCCTCACAGTATGCTAACACCTAGGTTGTTCTTAAGTTGACGGTCCTCATGTATGCCAACATCTAGGCTGTTCACATGTATGCCAACATCTAGGCTGTTCGTTACTGAGCTTGCTCTGCTGTTTTTTTTGTGTGATCCTATTAAAAATGAGAAAAAAAAAAGAGAGAGGTCCTGAGAGTTCATGGTTTGAGGGACAAGATAGAACAAGTATTTTTCCTAAATTTAAAAAAAGAAAAAAAGAGAAACAGCTGGGCTAGTGGCTCAGGCACATAATCTTAGCTACTCTGGCTGGGATTTGAGAATTGTGGTTCAAAGCCAGCCTATTCAGGAAAGTTCATGAGACTCTTTAATCTCCAGTTAGCCACCAAAAGGCCAGAAGTAGAGCTGTGGCTGGCTCAAGTGATAGATTGCTAGCCTTGAGCAAAAAAGTTCAAGCTCCAAGACTGGCATGAAATCAAACAATCTGTCAGTCATTTAGATTGCCTCTTGACTGCTTCTGAAGGTAAATATTTGGATCTTTACTGCTACAAACATCTAATTTTGAATAGTCTTCAATTCTGTATTATTTGCTTTATGTCCATTTTTGTACTATGTCCTGTTTGGAAGACAAAATAGTCTCTTAATGTGATAATGCCAGAATGCTGTGGGACAGCCTGGTATTGAGTCAGTTGTTGGAAGGTTCTGAGATATGTTGGTATGGAAATCTATACTTCCTTATATTTTTGTTCTGAGGGCAAAAGGGAAATGGCCAAAAAGCACTGTAAAGGCCAGAAGCAGAACCCTTGGGGAATTCACTGTCAGGCCTATATCCTTGCAGAAGTTGCCCAGAGTTGGTTGTGTATTTCCAGAGATGAGTTTTGAATTCCAACAAACCTTTCTTTTTTTCCCAGGGCCTGTTCTTCTTGATGAATTTGTTGAGTGGCAAAAAGTTCGTCAGTCATCATAGCAAGAACTATTTTGAAGAAAATGCAAACTTTTTGGTTTCCACGTGTATACAAGTTAATAAGATGAGAAAAAAAGGGGTGCATTTTCATTCATGTGAAAGACTTCTCATAGTACTTTTGTTTTCCTTTTTTTAAAGGAAGTTTTCTTGTTACATGTGATAGGCATTGAGCCACACCTCTTCTGAGACTGAATATTGATGTTTTGTTTCAAGTTATGTTTTTAACATTTATTTCAGAACAATAAAGGTTCCAATTTGTGACAAAGGCCTTAAAGCGAAAAATTTCCCTTGAGTGTCAGAGTGGTATTTATTTTTGTAAACTTGAATTCTTGGAGTTCTCAGTCACCCTGAAATTGTGGAACTTCACAGATTTTAAACAATGGCGATATAGTCCATTGTTGGTATGGCTCATTATATTCATCTTTGCACAATTAAGAAGAATACTTATTAGCTATGACTCCTGGGATAATGATTTTCTAATGCCACTAATAGAAAATGTTTCTAGATACTGAAATCACTCCCACTTGAGCTCTGGGGTTCTGTACAAGCTGCCAATATCTTATGTATATATACCTTACCTGAACAGTTTAGAATTAAAAAGATAAGCCCAGTCATTTTATTTTCTAACTTGAACTAGTATTTTAATAAGCACTAATGAGCATTGCATGTATAACATGACTTCTCGGTTTTCTGTATTTCTGTCAGTTAAAAAAGTTTTATTTATTTTTTAAAGTGCAAGGTTGTTATATATGAGTCTCAAAGTCAAACGTCCTTGTGAAAGAATTACAACCAATATTGAAATTGTATTCTCGCTGTTATGAAATTACATTTTCATGGTCTTTTTAATTGATTTTATGGTATGGGGAGTTTTGTTGAGAATATTCATGTTTGCCTTAAGAAAACTTTATCTTGGATGTTAAGATACACATAGAAGAAGAAGATAACGAGAAATCAGAAGAGAACGTTGGGTGCAACTGCAAACTCAGCAAGCCCATTTCCTTTATTTATTCATTCTTTTTGAGGTGCTGGGATTTCAAACCATGTCCTGCGCACACTAATAAGCAAGTGCTCTGCCACACAGCTACACACCCAGCCTCAATGAGGCCATCTGCACTGGCGATCACAGTTCTGCTGTTCTATCACAGGTGTCTGACTATTGGCAATAAGGTGTCTTGAGGCAATAACAGCCTTTGTTAATTCATATAAGAAGCACCTTTAAGATTGGCAGCTGGCCTGTTTGTATATTTAAACTATTGAGTATCCCAGTGATAGGGAAACTTGGGCACATTCACAGTCCAAGTCACAACCCCAAAATTACTGTTTCAGTGTAGGAGTGAAGAGAAGTAAATAGGCTACATTTTCATAATAAGGAAATTTCTATTGAGATTTGAGATAAAAGTTGATTTTAGATGGTAAATTTGTTTTAATGAGTAATTTTCAGGATTGATTGCTTAAGAGGATTTCATAGCTTTTTATTGTTTGCTTCTTAATGTCCAGGGAGAAACTTGCCAATGTTATACTTGCCTTCTTAAGATTACTCTGTATAGTTTTGTAAAACTGATACAATACTGGGATATAAAAGGTTTCCTAAATGTTAAGTAGATAAAGATAATGTTCTTGGAATGTTCCTCTTCTGTAGGAGAATCATTGAGCCTACAAACAATGTTGTGATTTTATATCATGAATGATTTAATATCAAATTTATTACAAATTCTAGACCTTTGAAGTTATAACTGAGTTCTCTCTGAGGGCTCAACTTCTAAACTTGAGGAATCTTGTCAAATTTTTTTTTTTAATTTAATTTTATTTTATTTGAGAACATACTGTACAGAGGGGTTACAATTACATGGGCAGGATAATGCATACATTTCTTACCAAGCATTGCAGCCTAATCTTGTCAAATTTTATTTAGCTCTAAATGAACAAGTCTTATAAGTTGTCAAGTTACGGCTTCAGCTGATAATGGCGTTGTCTTTGTCATCTGCATTATTTTTTATTTGAGTAAAAGAATATTCAAAATGTACAGATGACCTTTAAAAATTAAATGTAAAATATTTACTCCATCTACCCATCCAAGGATACCTTTAGGTTTTCTTGTCTGAAAATGAAAATTAAATTTACTTCATGAGATCTGCAGCGTAAATTCAAATTCCATCCTGATTGGTACCCACCATACTGTCTTACCTCTGTCTTCTCTTACCTTTAAAGCTGTAATATTCACCTACATTGGAGGCACATTTACTCTTCCTAATTCATCTATCAGGATTAGGGCTGTGTCTTCCTTTTCTTTTAAACACCATTTTAATTTATTGGGAAACTGATGAAGATGTTAAGCAAAGACAGGATTAAGGAGCCTGTGGTATAAAAATGGAAGTCTCCTAATTGTGGCTTTTCTGACTAAAGTGCCTTCCCAGGAATCTTGTAAAATTTTCAGATGTGTTTACTTTGTACGGGATGAAATACTCTGGTGCTTTATAACATGCAGTTAACTTGCTTTTACAGGATAGATAGTATTCAAATATAATGTTACTGAAGGAAGTAGAGCCAAGTGTGTTGATTCTCAACTGTGGGAAGGTAGACAGCTGGCCCTCCACAGTGGGCTAATAATTTTTAATTAAAAACTTGCCAGGGATTCAAGTAACTGGTAAAAAGTGGTGTATTATATGCTGATCTAAATTGTGTTACCATGTTTGTTTCTTACTGTCTAATGATTTTTTTTGTGCTTTAAATGCTGCTTATAAAATTCTTGACAATACATTTCTGATAATTGTATTTTTATGTATAATGTATAGGTTTTGTTGATTGTGCTTTTACCCAGAAGAAATGTAGACTGTTAATGGAATGGGAATTTGAGGATCTCCCAAGAGGATGTTGTTAGGTTGACCTTGAGGAGTGAGTATACAAATGCCTTTTCACCTAGTTTACCAAAAATTAATCTTAACAGTAGTCACTTTGGGGTGTAGGGTGAAGATGGGAGAAGAATTTGAAGTAATGACATTTTAAGGCATTCAAGACATCAGAAGTTGCCCAGATAGGACACATAAAAGTACAGTACTAATGAACACTTCACTCTTAAGTGTTTTGTCAGTAAAACATGTCCTTTTTGCATGATTACAAATATGAAATTACTAAAAGAATCATTGAAATTATGTGCTTAGTTTTTGAAGAGTACATAGTGATAATGAACTCTTACTGAAGGCTAGCACTACCACTTGAGCCACAGCTCCACTTACGGCTTTTTTAGTAGTTTCTTAGAGATGAGAGTCTCAAAATTTCCTGCGTTGGCTAGCTTTGAACTGCAGTCCTTAGATCTCAGCCTCCTAAGTAGCTAGGATTTTGCTGCTTTCTTGAAGACATGTACTTAATACTGTGGGTAATAATTCATACTCATGGGTGTTCTGGCTTTTGAGCCTTCTATAGCTTAAAGTTCAGTCATAAGCTTTTTGCTTATAATTTAGGAAACTCATGCTTCTTAAATGTCTAAAGCAGTAAATAAGTTGAGGGTGTTTGCATTTCTAGGAGAAAAAGCATGAAATACCTCAGTCACTGCTGACGAATTCTCATTCCTAAAGAACTTGAGAACTAGATCTTGAGTGATACTGGAAATCAACAGAAGGAACATTTCAAAGATAGGATCATTTTCTCTTCAGGAAGAAGAACAAGTAACAGCAAAGTTCATTACTTCCCTCAGTAGGAAACGTTAGTCTGAAATACCAAATATTGTGGATCATAATTTTCAATGAATGCAGTTTTTTTCTTCCTGAGTATTTGGTAACTGATTGCTTGGCTCAATTTTTTTTTTTGGTTAACAGAGCTAGTTATCTGTGATTATTGTGTAGAAGCCCACCCATAAGACATCCTAACTTTTATAGATAGTGGGAAAATGAAGTTCTTTCCCAAACCTTGAGTAAAATTTTCTGAATGTTTAATTGTGGAAAACTTTTTACTTCACTGCAACAAATCTTTCAGTTAAAAAAAAAAAAAAACACCTGGGGCTGGGAAGGTGGCTCAGTGGTAGAGCGCTTGCCTGGCATACATGAGGCCCTGGGTTCGATTCCTCAGCACCACATAAGCAAAAAGAAAAAAGCCGGAAGTGGCGCTGTGGGCTCAAGTGGTAGAGCGCTAGCCTTGAGCTAAAGAGCTGAGGGACAGCGCCCAGGCCCAGAGTTCAGGCCCCACGACCGGATCCCCCCCCCCCCAAAAAAAAAAAAAAAAAAAAAAAAAACCCTTAATTTATTTACCTTTCTATATCCACCTTTCAGTCTTCTGTGTTTTTAAGTACAGATAGTGTTTCCTTAGTCCCTTTTCCTGATCAGTTGTTGGAAATGTGTACATTTTGTCCTTAGAATGGACAAGACATTTTGGCAATGTGAGCTGTGTGTGAAGTGTACTTAAAAAAAAACCTTATCATGTGGCCTGTTTTTATGTGGGTTTACTATGTGTTAAATATTCTGACTAGACTTCTTAACATAAGTACAGTTATAATGCTGATTTGTTGTGTTTATTTTATGTATCTATGGTCCATGAATGGAAAAGCATAGCAAAACAGTCTTATTAAACATTTCTTCATTTTCCCCAAAATTACATAATTTGGAGTAGTGTTATCTCTCTGTCTTTTAGCTTTCCCAACCTTGAAAACTAGAAGTGTGTGTGTGTGTGTGTGTGTGTGTGTGTGTGTGTGTGTGATTGAGGAAAGCACTAATGCATTTTTCTACAATTAAACATATTTAGAAAATCAAAGTAAATATGCTTTCAACTTGCTACCAATCACATGTGAACCAAATGACAGCTTGTCATTTGGGGGGTATTATCAAATTTCGTAGCATTTTTTTTAGTGTACATAGGACATAACCTGCGCTACTGTTGTGCAAATTACAGGGCCTGTAGCAGGCTGATACAATTTTATCTACAAATGTAGAAAACTCACCTATTTATAGTGTCTGGAACCACATTTGAATATTGAGACTTCATAGTAGTACCTGAGAAACAGGTTTGTGACCCTTTTTTACACATTCCTGGTTTATCACTTTTCACAAGTTACTTGGCCTCTGTTATTTTAAGTTTTTCCTGTAAAATGCTAATAATAATCACTGTCATTATTGTCAGGAAGTTCAAATAAGATCCAGCAGAACTTAGTAAATGTTCCTGGTAGAGGAACAAAAATGGATTCAAAAGTTTAGTTTTCTCCAGTAAATTTCACCATCCTGTAAGAACCACTAGGATTTCCTGTTTTATTCTATGTATTTTAATCTATTTTATAGATATATTCATCTAC